ACCTCTTCCTGGAACTGTTCCGCGGCCTCTTTGGGGACCAGGTTTCCTGGCCAACCCTGGGAATGAGCGGGAGGACAGGAGGTCAGCTTAGGGGGCCTGGTTTTAGGCAAGGGGAACATTTGTCACTGGAGAGCCAGGCCCTGTCCTGCCCTACGCAGGGCCACACCTGGAAGCCTTGTACTAACATGGCAGAGTTTCAGCCTCACCCCACCCACACCCACAGTTTTCCAATGTTTTGACTGGAGGGCAAAATTTTACTACTTTTCATCTTTTTGGAGACCAGGGCTGCCCTGCTGGCAGCCTGCTTTCTAAGTGAAATCGACTCCGTTTCCCCACTTTAACCCCAAATTGGGGCTTGGACCAAGGCAGGTGAGACCCTCACCCCAGGTCCCCTCCCCTTTCAGATGACATCTCTCATTCTGCCTCTTCCTCACGCCCCTGCCTCAGCCTGGGTTTTTGTTCTTTTTTTAAAAAACGACGCTTGTTCCATCCATTTTGGCTTTTCCTCGTCCCCTGTAAATAGACCATGCCATCGATCAGTATTTCTCAGCACCCACTTCCTGCCCCCAGACGTGCGCCTACCCCCGAAGGAGCTGGCTGTCTCAGTGCCTGGGCCCGTGCACTTCACCTCCTCGGCCTCAGCAGATGGAGGGGGCGGGGCTGGGTGGGCGGGGCCGTGGGGGGGGGGGGCTTCTGGTTTCTCCGGCCGGGGCCACCTCTGTCCCGCCTTCCACAGGACTGCGTCTCTGTATATAATATATATATGTATGTATTGTTCCCGGTTTTGTACGGACCATGCCCTCTGTCAGGTCGTCCCCATAAAAGCAGCCCCCAGAGCCTTGCTGCCTGGTTTCTTGATTCGCAGGAGGGGGTGGGGGGCAGAGATGCCAGTCTGAGCCCAGTGGTCTCCCGCTAGTGCTACCTCTGACCCTGAGGATCTTTATACTGAGAACCCTTGTTCCCGCAAACTCCATCTGCCACCATCCCCCCACCGTCCCCCATCCCTTCCGGGCAGGGCTGGGGTTTCTAGAGCTTTCCTTAGGCTCATCGCTTTCCTCTTTTTCAAGGTCTCTGATGGAATTTAAAGGATGGGTTAGATACAGTAAGGTGAACCCTGAGTCCCTCCCCTGAGAAGTGTAACCTGATGGGGATACACAGCCCCTAGTTTTCCGGAAGTGCAGCTGGGGGTGGGAGATGATATGTCAGAGCAATTTTGTCGCCTGGGTTCTAGAGATTCCCTCTGGCAGTAGCCAGAGAGGCCTTAAGTAGTCCTAGACCTCTGCTCTGTGCCAGCAGGTTTGGTTGCTAACTCACCAGTTCTAATACCAACAGGCCTGGGAGTCCAGATGCCAGGGTTCCAGGGACAAACTTCAGTGAAATCCCAGACAGAGATGAGAGCAGGGGGCAGTGGGGCCTCTCCTTGCTCTGGGAGCTGTGTGCTATGTGTGATAAAAAAGTACAAGACACTTGTGTTCAGTGGCCCGGCCACCAAGAGGATTCTCACGGTCCCCTTCGCCCTAAAGAATGGAAGTCCCAACATTAGGGCCCTTCAAAGTCACTTTGGTGGGTCCCTGACAAACCCGAGACGAGTGGCCTCTACCAGAACTCCCAGTGGCAGGCGGCTCCTGGGGTGGCCACTCCCTTCTGGATGGCTCTGTCACACAAGTCTCCTTCATGTCAAGCCAAATTCTGGCTTCCCATAGCTTCATTCCAAAAATCCTAGTTCTACACCTCAGGGCCATATATAACCAGTCCAATTCTGCCACCCACCTAAGATCACCTGGGAACCTGGAGATGGTGGCCATGCCTCTAGGCGTTTTCTCTTACAAGTGGATCTTCCTTGGAACACTGCTGGGAAGACAAATCCAGGTGGCTGAATCCCAGGATCAGAAACCACCAAACCACAAGGTCACAGGTCATATCTCCAGAGTTACAGGTGACTTGGGCCCTGCTCAGGCAACCTGGCCAAGAAGACCCAAGGAGGACTTCCCTGGTGGCAGAGTGGTTGAGAATCCGACTGCCAATGCAGGGGACCCGGGTTCGAGCCCTGGTCCGGGAAGATCCCACGTGTTGCGAAGCAACTAAGCCCATGCGCCACAACTACTGAGCCTGTGCCCTAGAGCCCATGAGCCACAACTGCTGAGACCGCGTGTTACGACTACTGACGCCTGCGCACCTAGAGCCTGTGCTCCGCAACAAGAGAAGCCACTGTGATGAGAAACCCACGCACTGCAACGAAGAGTGGCCCCCACTCGCCACAACTAGAGAAAGCCCGCACGCAGCAACGAAGACCCAATGCGGCCAAAAATAAATAAATTCATTAAAATAAAAAAAAGGTCCCAAGGAGTGAAGTGGCTGGATCTTCCTGGGTGGCGAGGCAGACACGGGGGTTGTGATGAGGGCTTCTGTTGATCTGACCAGAGCAGAGCATCCAGGGTGGGGTCCTGCCCCCGTCTGTCCTGTGTATTAGGTGAGGGGCTTGCACCCCGTATGTTCCAAAAGGTGGAATCCCTTTGGAAAGTAGCCCAAGTCAAAGCCTGAGTGTGGTGCGTGGCTGGGGACGGTGTGTGTGGCTTTGCTAGCTCCTCAGGCCTGAGAGGTGACTCACCTGTGAGCTATGTCAAGTAGCCATGGGCAAGCCTGTGTGAGGCGTTACCCCAGCCCTGCCCTGCCCCCTCCCCAGTTCTTAGGAGCTTGCGTAGGTTTGCCACAGCCCCAACATTCGCCATAAGGGAGGGAAATCAGATGAGGGGAGTTTCCCAGCTCCCAGAAATTTAGGGGGTCCTCCTGAGTCTTACGGTCTATAGGCACCCTCCCATAGAATGTGCCCCCAACATTGACATTACATACCTATCATCTCCCCACTCCCTACGGGGGCTATATAATCAATCCCTCACTCCAGCCTACCACCCAGATTTCACCAAATGCCCACAAACTGTGTTTCCCAGACACAGCCCCAATAACACCTCCAGAGTCACCACTCCCTCCCCAGATCTCCACAGTCCAGCCAGCAACCCATGGCTGCCAGCAGATTCTAAAGACACCCAGAGATGCCACAACTCCCACGATCTCATTGGATCTTCAGCCCCTAAAGGTTATGAATTCTGTCCTTACCCATGGTCCTAAGACCATCCGGGCTCAACATGCCACCTCCCAGAGCCCCTCAGAGACCTGGGACTGCAGAGACTTTGGCCATCGGGGAACTCTATCCCTACAGACTGCACACTGCTCCCCTGGGCTCTGGACCCCCTTGCCCAACCTCACCACTTGCTCTTGAACAGACAAAGGGGGTAACAGAAACACCTACCTCATGGGTTTATCGTGAGGGTGACATAAATCATCTGAGAAAAGTGCCTAGCACAGTGTCTGGCATCCCCTGCACCATCTCGGGACCGTAGCTAGCTGTTGATTATCGTATTCTCTCCCCTGGCTGGCCTGCCACCACCTCCAGCTCACCAGGTCCAAGTCTGACCTCATCCCCCCACGCCCCCTCCACCTACGGGGCCTCAAGCCAAGGCCTGCAGTCATCTAGACCCCTCCTTCTCCTTCTGTGGCCAGCCAGTCCCCAAATCCTGTCAGTTTCTTCAATTCCACATCCTTAATATTCCTCATCACGATCTTTGATCTTCGTGCCCACTGCCATCACCTCTCAACAGTCTCGTGAGTGGTGCCCCAGCCTTCAGGCAGCCTTCTCCAAAGGAGCCGAGGGGTTCTTCCTAAAATGCAGATCAGAGCCCCTCACTCCTCTGTTACTTTTCCCCTGTGGCTGGTAGGATAAAGTGCAAGCCCCCCCCCCACCATCCTTCATCTTCCTCTCCTTTCCTCCCCACCCCCACAAGTCCCCCTAGCACTTCTACCCTGGCCTGGCCTGCAGAAGTAGCCAACAGGTCACCTCCTCCGGGAATCCTCCTGGATCACTTCCACACACAGCCCCCGCCCCGGTCCTCACCCGCCCCCGGGCGAGGCCTGGCTCTCCTCTGGTGTGCTCTCCCCGCGCTGAAGTGTCCTCTGTGAACCAAGGCTCACAGCACCCGCTCTCTTGAGGGCCTCCCCACTCGTCTGTCCCCCTGACAACGCTGCGAGAGCCACGACGGCCCGGACCGGGTCGGCTCTGCTCTCCACGGTCCCCTCGGGCCTCGGCGTATCCGACTGCTCTGTGGACTTCTGTTGAATGGATGAATCAGGAGCCCTCACAGGCCTTGCAGAGGAGGCAGAAGCCCCGTAGGTCCTAAGGTGGGGCCGCATCTCCGTCCGCTCACACCCGCCCCGACTCCCGCGGGCCGAGAAGTAGCGGTAACTAGAATCCCCTCGCCCGGCTCCGCCAGCCGGGGCCGCCTCCTCCCTCCCCCGTGCTCCCGCTGCCTCCGCCCCTCCCTCCCCCCATCCCTCCCGTTCTTTGTCTCCCGGGCGCCCGGCCTCCCCGCCACGCGCCCCCTCATCGCCCCTTCCCTGGGGACCCCCCGCGGATCCCCGTTGACACGACGCTAAGAGTATCCGCCTGCCAGGCGGGGGACCCCGCGTCCAGCGGGGCTGGGCGGGGAGACGGTTTCTCTCTCTCTCTCTCCCTCCCTCTCTCTTCTCTTCTCTCCTCTCCTCTCGTCTCCTCTCGTCTCCTCTCTCTCTCTCTCTCTCTCTCTCACACACACACACACACACACACACACACACTCGCACACACACGCACACACACGCACGGAGCATCCTCCCGTCAGGTCTCCTGGTCCAGCCCCTCCCGCCGTGCCTCCTGCTTCCTGCGAACCTTCTCCTTCTCTCTCCGAACTCCCCCACCCCCACCCCCACATTCCCTCCGGCTCCAAGACCCCCCTCGCTGACCCCTACCCCTACTCCCGGGATGGAGCGGATGGAGCCAGCCCGGAGCCCCCCGAGGCCGGGGTGACTGTCCCCCGCCCCTCTCCCGCCTGGCCCCAGCCCCAAACACCATGGGCCTGAGGGGATTCTGAGGCGCCGGACGCTGAAGATGACAGATGCTGGAGGTGAGGTATTGGGACCCCAAGAGCCCCAAGTTGGACGGGGAAGCGGAGCTGGGGGGGTCTCCGGCTTGCGGTGGGAACCCGAGTGGGGTTGGATAGGGCGAAGAGACAAGGACCTTTCTTCCCCTGTCCCTAGGGCGGCCCGCACAGAGCCAGGGTTCTGGGCCGTTAGGAGATGGGGTGGAGATAGGATTTGTGTCCCTAATCCTCTCCCTTTGCCCGAGGTCCGGAGAGATTAATTTTTTTAAAAAACTGGTGTTGGGGGAGGGGGGAGAGCTTAACCCCTTCTTGCCTGGTGCGGAGTTGGACTAATGGATCGGACAGAACTAGCCACTTGGCTCTGATTGGGCAATAGGGGCCCCGAGAGTGCAGAAGGTGCCCTGTCCTCCACTCCCACCCCATCTCCAGCGGTGCTTGCTGGATGCCCCCAGCTTGGGCCTTATGGGAGGGGGTCACCCCTTTCTCTAGCTCCACACTGCCTCCCCTGCCCCAGCCTCCTCTCCCAACCATCCCTCCCCAGTTGCACTTCTTTCTCGGGCTCCTTCTCCTCTTCCAGGGCCCCTTTCCTCTTTCCTTCCCCACTGAGGGCCGCCTCTCGCCTGGCAGCCGATTCTGCCCTTCTGCACCCCTCCCCTGGGCCTCACTCAGGGCTGCTGGAGCCCTGTCTGTACTGCTTCTTCCCCTGGCCCCGCTGCCGCCGCTGCTCTCAGGCTCATCTCCTTCTTGCTCTTTCTTCCTCTGCAGCTCTGTAGACTGACTCTCCACCAACCTGTCTCTGTCCTGCTCCCCATTTCCTCTCCAGGGCTTGTATACCCTTTCTTTGTCTTTCTCCTTCCCCTGGGTCCCAGGAAACTTGGCGTTCACCTGCCTCCCTTTCTCATAGGGAAGGGTCAAAAGTTATTGGTGTTCTTCCTCCGGGAATTGGGAAGTTTTGGGAGGAAGGAGTGGCCTGGTAGAGTCAGAGCCCAGACTGCTTCCAGAGAACAGGTTCATTTCCACCTTGTAGTGGTTACCTGGTTTGAATGTGCATGTATGAGTGTGGCGTGGGTGTGTGTGTGTGTGCGTGTGTGTGTAGGAGTGTAATGTTGTAGGAGTGTAAATGGGGGGGATGTCTAATTTACCACGGTTCAGTGTTGGAAGGGGGGGTGGGAAGGGCCTGGTGACATTCTGATGTCATGCTTCCCAGAGTTCCCCAAGGGACAGTGTAGGGAGGGTCCCCCATACACCCCCCAGGGAGTTAGTTGTTGAAGAAAGCGGTTTGTGCTGAACCAGAATTCATTCGGCACTGATGTGAGCTGGAGGCCCCAGCCCACCCCAGAGCGTACCTGAAAGAGGATGGCATCCACAAGAGGGTCTCCACCCTAAACTGGGACCTTGAATAAAGAGCACATGGGCTCTCCATTCTCAGGTGGTCTAAGAGAGGAAGCACCCTCAGGGAACCTCCATTCTGTTGGGAGAGGCAGTTCTTATCTTCAGAGATTCCCTCTTCTGATGGGGAATACTGCCCCTTCTCCTCAGGAGCTCCCATCTGATGTGGCAGAGATATGACCCAGTTAGGGAATCAATGAAGTATGAAAAATTACTCATTTCCTAGTAGTGGGGAAGAGTGGATTTAGAAATTATATAGACAAATGAGAGGAGTGAGGGCTATCTAGGACAGCTTTCTGGAGGAGGTGGCAGCTAGGTCCTGGTCAGATGAGCTTTGCGATTGAAGGAGGGAATTTAGTTCATTCTTAGGGGCAGCCTCTCTTCCCATCTACCCCTTCAGGACAGGAAGAGAGGTTCTAGAACTTCTCTGTTACTAGCACCCAGGGTTGAAGAATGGCAGGAGGGTTCCTGGAGGGCCCACATCCCTGGCTCCTTCTCATACCTCATTTCCTGCTTGCAGCCCCAAGCATCCGCAGAGCCTGGGGTGGAGGTAGCTTTGAAGCGTATCCGGTCCTAGCGAGTATGGACCAGCTCCCTTACCTCTACCCCTGTCCCTTCTCCCAGCAGTGTTCTTTCCTCATGAGCAGGTTCCCAAACTGCAGATCACCACCCAGGACAGAGCTGAGGGGCAGGAGACTGTGGTCAAGGTCGAGTTCTGCCTCTTATCTCCTGCATCTCAGTTTTCCCATCTGTAAAGTGGGGACACTAAGAGTCCCGAGCCTGGACAGTTCACAGTGAGATGAATCTGTGTAATAACAGAAGAGGAGAATCGGAAGAGACCAAGCAGGCATGAGGTAGCTTTCCTACACCTGTCAAATGGGTGGTCTAATGCAGTGCTCTGCCCTTCTCATGGGGACCTGAGTGTTAGAAGTAATTGGAGATCACGTCCCAGGCATGCAGCATGCCCCTGACCCTGAGCTTCCTCCTTCTCCCCTCATCTGATATTCCCTTGCTTCTCTGACACCCAGGCTTTGGTTTAGGGATGCTGCAATCCTACATCTGCTAGGAAGCCTGCCCAAATTGTTCCGGCTACATATATCCTGCTTTCCCACCTGCCCTTCCTTTCTTACTTCCCACAAAAAAAACCAAACCCCTATCCATCCATATTTCTTCCCAGAACATTATCTGGTGCATCATAGAGATTTGGCTCTGCACTGTTCTGCTACGGGTACTCTTTATACCCTTCTGCATCTGTGAGTCTGTCTTGAACTGTGAGAACTGTGACTTTGTCGAGAACAGTGGCCCTGTTGATGATGCCAGCTTCCTGAACAGCTCATGTTCAGGAAGACAGGTGGTGAGTGCACCAGTGATGAGAGTGGGGGGAGGCAGGACTGGGTGATGGATGGGAAGATGGATGGGTGGATGGTATAAATTGACGGATGTAAAAATGGGTGGATGGTTGGACGGGGCGGATGGTGGATGGATGGGTGGCTGGAAAGATAGATGTTTGGACAGATGATGGATGGGTGAATGAGTGGACGGTGAATAGGCAAGTAGATGCATGGATAAGTAGGGACGTAAGTAGGTGGGTGGATGGAAGAACCTGGGTTCTCATTTTGATCTTGCCATTAACTTATTATGCGACCTTAGATCAGTCATTCTCCTGTCTCTTTCTTTATTTGTAAAATGAGAGGATTGGATTTAATAGTCTCCAAGATTTCTCCCAGATTTGATATTGGACAGCTTATGATGATTAAAAGCTTTTAGGGAATGCTAATGACAGAAGGGCCCAAGACAGTGACGGGGAGAGAAGTTCAGTGACCCGTGTGCAGGCACTCGGCAAATCAGCTTGGACCCGGGCTTCAGGACAGCCTGTGTCTATACCCTGGACTCGCTTCTACCTCCTGCCTGCCCCAACCATCTGGGCTGTGGTTCAGATGATTTCTCTTTCAGGGGCCAGAGAAAGAGTTGTAAGGAGAGGTGAGGGCCGGAAGGCTAGGAGCAGGTAGCCATTGGCAGCTCCCTTGCCTGCACCAACCTGAACCTCTTATCCATGGTCTTCTTTTCCTCTTTCTCCTCTTGTCCTCCCAGCTCTCTTGAGTCATGGCTTCTTCAAAGCTCCGAGAACCTGCGGATGAGGTTTTCGGTAAGTTCTGTTTGGTTCTATCTCTAGCCAAGGCTATCGGGCCTGGGGGGAGAGGAGTCCTGGTAACTTCAGTGTGTGTGTGTGTGTGTGTGTGTGTGTGTGTGTGTGTGTGTGTGTGTGTGTGTGTGTGTGTGTGTGTGTGTGTATTTTGGCCTTGCAGCCTGATTTTTTGTCACCATTATCTGAGTAGATGTCCAATTACAACACGATGATAATAAGGGTCCCCATTTATTAAGTGCTGTCTCACGCCAGGTGCTAGGCCAGCGCCCCCATTTCACAGGCACTGTATCATTTAACCCTCAGAACAAGGCTAAGGAGTGTGCCCACTTTCCTACGCCTAGGACACGGAGCACAGAAGTGACTTGCTTTAAAGATTACACTGCAAGTTAGTGGCAGAGCCGGGACTAAAACTCCAGACTGCCTAACTCCCTGCTGGCAGCCACTGTGCCGTGTGTACACCAGTATTCCCCAGCGCAGGTGACACAGGTTACCTCCGAGCTGCATAACTAAGGGACCTCATCTGCATGGATGTGCAGGGAAATCAAAAATGCATAACGCACACTCAGCATCTACACCCTCGGGGCACCCCCAGACTGACCCCCCTGTGTTCTCACTGGGGTGCATGGACACCCCCCCACCCCATCATTTACCCCCTGCAGCCTTTCTATTGTGTGGATTAGAGAAAGACCACTGACGGGGCACAGCTCCCAGCATGCACTGGGGTGGAAAGGCTGTTTACCAGCTGGGTTCGGTGGAGGAACGTGGAGGGCGCGGTGGAGGCAGAAAGCTCGCGGATGCAGCCCTCAGGACTCTCAGCTGGGAGGGGCTCCTAGCTGTGGAATGCCACAGGGCCTCCAGTTTCTCCACCCCTGCCTCTCATCTCTACCTTCCTTGCCCTCTCCTCCTCCCACTTCCCCGCTCACCTCTCTCTCCCCTGTGGCTGCCACAGGCCCGGGCAATGCCAACGCCGCCCGCCGGAACTGCTGCCTCCTGGCTCCTGGGGAACTGCTTCCCGGCCTGGCCTCCCTGGGGCCTGTGCATGGAGGCTTTGCCTCGGGGGACGCCCCCAGCCTCGAACTGTCTCTGGGCCTCAGACTCTGAGTGTCTCCATCCCCACGCAAGCCCAGCCTGACCCCTGGCCTGGCAGAGGCGAGCTCCCCGTTCCTTGGGCTTTTTGGCCTCCGCTCCCCCACCCCCGACCCTTCCTGTTTTCCTTCTCCCTGACCTGCTGAGGTAGCTGCCTGCCTGGCAGCCTTCCTGAAGAGAAAGGCGATGAAATATTCATGACTTCCCACTGCCCAGGGCCGGGCTAACTCCCAGGGAGAGAGGGAGAGGGAGAGCAAGATGGTGGGAGGGATGGACAAGGTGATGAGGGCCTGGTAGAGTAAGGGACCAGAGGAGAGGCTGGCCCCACCTTGCCTCAAAAAGCCCCAAGCCCCTTAGGAGTTCCTTTGCTCCCTAGACCCTCCACGGTAAGATGACCATGGTTTTGATGTGGCCCAGATTCAGGTGCAGACAGCCCTTCTCCACGGCCCAGGGCGGCTGGGCACCAGCTGCGCGCTGGACGGGTCGAGGAGGCTCATGAGCTCCCTTCCAGGAGCCCTGCCTACTGTCCTTAACTCCCTCTGCACCCTGGGCCAAACTTTCCTCTCCAAGGAAAGTAAGGGCCTGTAAGGTGAGGGGTTGGACTCACAAGTCACTCCCATCTCTGCCTCAGAGGACGTAGAGAGGGCTTGGTGGTTACACACGGAGCCCTGGAGCCGGAGCCCAAAGGCCTATGACCCTGGCCTGCTCTTCACCAGCCCTAACCCTCGGGCAAATGAAGGCTGCCCTGGGGGTTCTTGGAGTCGCTTCCTCCTTGGGTTGTGGGGAGGTTTAAACGAGCTAGTAACTGTAAAACGCTCAGAACGCTCATATACACATACACTCTCTCACACACACACTATTCTATGCCTGTGTTAGTGCAGTGAACAAAAGAGAGAAACGTCTGCCTTCACGGAGCTGACGTTTTAATGGGTGGAGAGACAATAAACTAAATTAGTAAAATATATGGTATGCCAGAGGATGACAAATGATACAGGAAAAAATTTAGCAGTGGGGGTTTGGGGGGTATTCTAAATTGGGTGGTCTCTCAGTGAGAGAAAGCATTTAAGCAGAGACTTGAAGGAGGTGAGAGAGAGAACTGTGCAGAAATCTGTGGCAAGAGCCTTGCAGGAAAGGGAAGAGGAAGTGCAAAGGCCCTGAGGTGCAGGATAGCTGGTGTAAGGAAGAGCCAGGAGGCCAGGGTGGCTGGAGCAGAGGGAAGAAGAGGGAGAGAGTCGCTGAGCTGCCTGAGTCTGGAGGCCGTGGTAAGAACTCGGCTTCTTACTCTGTGAGAGATGGAAGTCACTGGAGGGTTCTGAGCGGAGGGAGGCGTGACCTGGGCTGACATGTTTTATCAGGATCACTCTGGCTGCCGGGTTGAAATTAGGCCGTAAATGGGAAAGGGAGGAGGAGGGAAGACCAGCCGGGATGATCTGTAATAATGGAGGCAAGAGGTAGTAGTGACCTAGACCAGGAATGCTGTGTGTTCTCCCTCTCCTTTCCTCTCCCCTCCTCCTTCTCCCCACATGTATACATGTATGTAAGTGCGTGTGTATACAGACACATATACACAATATTTTACAGTGGGAAGTCAAAAGTAGAGAGACTAGCACAATGTACCCCATCATACGCTTACGTACTCATCTCAACCTCAACCATCATCAACTCATGGACAGTCTTGTTTCATCTACATCCCCTTCCACTCTCCACTCCTAGTCTCCTGGATTATTTTGAACCTAACCCAAAACATCATGTCATTTCACCATAAATATTTCAGCATGTCTGGATATATTTCCAAAGTAGAGCTAACAGGAATTGTGGACGGATCAGTTTGCAGGGTGAGAGGGAGAGGGAGGAATCACGGGTGACTCCAGGGGTTTGGCCTGAGCAGCTGCAAGGATGGAGACGCCATTCACTGAGCTGGGCAGACCGGGCAGCTTAGGGGGTAGGGAGGTCAGGTGTCCAATTGTGACATATATGTTGAAGATGCCCATTGGACATCCAAGTGGAGGTGTCAAGTAGGCAGCTGGACACATGAATTACCAACTGGGTCTGAGAGGAGTGCCTGGGTGGACAGTGGGGCCTTTCAGTGAGCCAGGGACAGAGAACCAGTTTGAGGCAAGGTGGTGGGTTCGTTTGATGGGCTGAGTTTGAGGTCCCTGGGTGATTCTGACATGGTAAGTTCCCTGGCAGGTGCTGAGGTGCCCAGACTTGGAATTCAGGGGAGGGGTCAGAGTTCGAAATAGGTATCGGTAGTAGTTCAGCCACTGGGGTGGCTTAGGGGGTGTTTGCAGACAAGGGAAAGAGGAGCAGGCAAGGCCTTGAGTGATGGGATGGGGTCCCTGAGATCATGAGGGGTGGAGTGGTGAAGAAAGGTCTTAACCCATGCCGAGGTCTGGGAAGAACCTGTTCTGCCTGGAGAAGCTCAGGGTCACTGCAGAGTGAAGGTTGCATTCTCCGGTGGAGCAAACGGAAAGTGAAACTTGGAGCAGGAGGGTCTATGCATAATCTGTTGGGTTTGCCTACTCTTCCGCATGTCCTCATCCAGGACCTAGCCCTGGGCCACGGACCCCAGGACGGGAGAGACAGGCTTCAGGGGTCTGTAGGCTTTCCTCTCTGCCACCGCCGCTGGCTTTTGGGGGTCCCTCTGCTCCAGTTAACTGTGAGCCCTCTAGATGCTCAGCAGTGCTGTCTCTGAGCGTGACCTTGAGCGTGGCACAGCAAGCCAGTGTCCCCAGCAGGGCCAATCTCTGGAGCTAGACTAGCCAGGCCGGCGCGGCGCCCCCTGCTAGCCAGGCTCAAATCCCAGACCATTGCTAGCTGCTGGCCTCAGTCAAGAGACTTAACCTCTCTGATCCTCAGTTTGCTCAGCTGTGAAATGTCCACAGCAGCTGTGCCTAGCCTGCGGGTTGTTCTAGGTAGACAAGGTGTTGTATGTATGTCCTGGCGTGTAGTGGGCGCTTCCTCAGTGGTAGCAGTTACAACCATGCTCTCTCCGGCCTCATCCTCCAGTCCTTCCCTCCACAAACCTGCCCTCCCATTGCCCTGGAGGTGCCCGCCCCCAGCTTCCCTTCCTCCCAGCACTGCATATACCAGTTTTGCCAACCTCCTCTCTTGTAAACTCCCATCCAGACCTTAAGACCCAGCTTTGGTGTTTCCTCCTCCAACCCATCCAAACAGAGCCATCCTGTCCTCTGTGCCCGTGAGAGGTTCCATCACACACTGTATGTATGAGCTGATATGTCCAGCTCCCTGCGAGACTGTGAAAGACCCAGCTCTCCGTCTCATAGGACTATCAGTGCCCTGCGCTTGGAGACATTTGTGGAATGCCTGGGTGTGAGTACAGGTGGCCACTTGAGGTGGGCCTCCGGGATTGCTGTCCTCATGTGTCTGGTCTCTGCCCCTCTTCCCCGGTTTGCAGACCTGGACTTGGCTGTGCCAGAGACCGTCAGACTGGACAGCAGTTTACACAAGGCCCGAGCCCAGCTACTGGCCAAGGGCCGGAGACACAGGCCCTCCCGCTCGAGGCTTCGGGACAGTGCCAGCTCTGCAGAGGATGGTGAAGGCTCCGATGGGCCCGGAGGCAAGGTTGGGGCAATCCACCCAATCGCACATACCCCACCCACCCTTCTTGCTCCTGGATAGTCCCTCCAAACCACTCTTCCAGGGAAACCACACCCCTCGACTTCTGACATCATAAGGCTAACAAATATTAGCTGCAGTTCAATTCTGGCTAATCTCATCCTTTCAAGGAAGGTATTAGCCCCATCTTCCAGACGAGGAAATTGAGGCTCTGAGAGGTTCACTAACAAAGTCACACAGTTAGGAAGTGAAGGAGGCGGGATCCAGCCCCAGCCCATGTGACCGGAAGTCCCGTTTCCCACCTCTCGCTGCCCAGCCACCTCTCGGCCCAAGGCACGAGGAAACCCTCCCTCCAAGTCCCGGAAGGACCTAGGAGCCCCGCGCTCCCCTCCGGGAAGAGGGGAGGAGGGTTGGCGGTGAGCGGCTGCCCCTTCCCCAGGTGACCGATGGCTGCGGGAGCCCCCTGCACCGGCTGCGCTCACCTCTGCACTCGGGCCCGGGGTCCCCAGCCGGGAGCTCCTTCTGCCTGGAGCCCCCGGGGTTGCGGCGCAGCCTGGACGAGGACGAGCCGCCGCCCTCGCCGCTCGCACGCTACCGACCCCTGCACAACGCCGCCTCGCACGAGGGCCTGGCCGCCGCCTCCTGCTCGCCGCCGCGCTCCGCGCCCTCGTCCGACAGCTCGCCCAGCTTCGTGCGCCGCCATCCCCGCGCCGAGCCGCACAGCGAAGGTGAGCGGCGGCCGGCGCGGCGCCCCCTGCTGGCAAGAGGTCCCTTGGGCGCCGAAGTGCGTGGCGGGATCCGAGGGGCAGGGTGGCTGGGGAAGGTGGGGAATAAAGACCACGGTTCTTTCACTCATTTCCCGAGCGCCTTAATATGTGCCAGGCACTGCTGGGCACTGACACACACAGAAGAGCAAGCAGATGCAGTTCTCGTCCTCACGGGGCTTATAGGTTCGAGCAGAAACAATCAAATCATCCATTGATTAAACGTATAGTTACAAGGTGTATTAAGTGCTATGTGAGAAAACAGTGCGCGGGGCGGGAGAGCATATATCAGCGTGAAAGCATCCTGGGAGCAGTTGGGAGCATCCTGGAAGGCTTCTCTGAGGAAGTGACATGTGAGCCAAGATTAGAAGGTTGGCTACAAGTTGGACAAGATAAAATTAACAGTAAACAGCAGTGGTCCCTACGTTTTCAGCGTGGTTTATGGTTTGTCTAAGGCTTTCATCAACATCTTATTAGGTCTCATGAAACAGGCAGTGTCATTATCCCCGTATTTGAGATGCAGGAAGCTCAGAAGGTAGTAACTTGTCCTAGGTCACACAGCTAGTGAAGGGCACCAGAGCCAGGTTACCTGATTCTAAGTCGAGAGAATTCCTACCACCTCACGGGCAGCTGGAAGAGGCAGACAAGCCACCACCCAGGCTGTTTTCTTCCTTCTCTTCCACAAAAGATGACAGCCGGGATGCCAGCCCACCTGAGCCCGCCAGCCCTACCATCGGCCTGGATAAGAAGACTCGCCGCAAGTTCCTGGACCTGGGGTGAGTGGAAGAGGGGCCAAGAACAAAGGCTTGGGGATGGGGGTAGCACAGTGGGCAGCACTGTCCCACTCCCCCTCGCCCTCCCCACAGGGTCACCTTACGCCGAGCCTCCACTAGCAAGAGCCGGAAGGAGAAGGGCAGCAACCGTCTGTCCATGGGCAGCAGGTAAGAGGCACCCACAGCCCCTCAGCCGCAGCTTTTGCCCCCAGCTCCCTGGGGGCCCCAGCCCTCGCCTTGGTGCCCACACCCATGCAGGGCGCTCTCTCCACAGGGAGTCGGTGGAGGGGTCCGGCAGGTCAGGGGGCTCCCCGTTCCTGCCCTTTTCCTGGTTCACAGACAGTGGCAAGGGCTCGGCGTGTGCTGGCAGCACCACCTCCCCGGCCTGCTCCCCTAAACACGAGCGCTTCAGCCCTAAGAAGTCAGCTTCTCAGGTGAGTCTGTGGCCCTCTGGCTCCCATACTGGCCCCCAGACTCAGGTGACATGAAGACATACTTCCCCCTGGCTTGGGCTGGGATCCAGGCATTCCTGGAGTCCATCTGTCTGTCCATGGAGCCATTCCGTGATCCATTAATTCATCCAGTTTCTGAGTTCAGGCATTCGCTCATTCACTTGTTTATATGCTGAGTGGCTCCTTCATTGATTCGTTCATTGCTGCCTCCAGGATCCCCTAGTACACACCCGGCCTGAGGGCTCCTCTATCCCTGCTAACTCTCCTGCCTGGCTCAGTTCTGGCCCCATGTCCTGTCTTAGGAGCTGGGCTACGTGTGTGGTGTGGTGATGCTTGGGGGAAGCAGAGATGAACAGGACCCCAACCTAGCTAGTGCTCAGAAAGTGCACTAGCTGTGGGAGAAGTGAGACCGAGTAGCAGAAGCAAGAACGGGCAACTGTTTACGTTCCCCGGGACTCCGCGGTCTACAAAGCTCTGAGCGCATGTTTTTGCTTTACTCTCACAAAGGCTCAGTGAAGTGGGGAAGGCAGACACACTCACCCCCATTGTACAGATGAGCAAATGCAAGCCCAGACTGAAGGGATGTGCCTACAGACTCAGTTGGATTTAGGTGCCAGGCGCTATGACTCCCAGCCCTGTGCTTGTTCTGTGATTCTGTTTCTTATGTGCAGCCTGGTCAGAGATCAGAAAACTGGAAATTCAGGGGAGAAGGGATCCCTCCCTTTCTTCCTTCCCTTGTGCTGGGCCCTGGTGAACAGACACAGCCCAGGCCCTCACAGAGCTCACAGTCCAGTGAGGACAAAGACATCTAACCAGGTTTTTACGAGCCAGGGTGCTAGAGGCCATGCTGGGGAGGCACAAGGCAGAGACGTCCGACCCAGCGCGAGGGAATCCCAGTCTGCTGTCTAGAAAGCGACACCAGTCTGACCTCCTCCATTCCTGCTAACTACTCCGCCTGGCTCAGTTCTAGCCCCACGTCCTCCCAGAGGCCTCAGACGCGATGTCTCGCACGGGTTGCCGCGCCCTGCGTGGCCGCCTAGCTCCTGGCTCACTACGAGGGCCCTGAGCAACTCCTGGTGCCCAGCCCTGGGCTTCAGCTTCCTCTGGATGGGGCTGGAGGGTCGGGGGTGACTGCCTTGCGCTTGGAGGTGAGCTCTCTCCTCAGCAGCGTGCCCCCCCCCCCCCCCCCCCCCCAGGAATCCACTCTGAGTGACGACTCCACACCCCCCAGCAGCAGCCCCAAGATTCCAAGTGGTCCCCGGCAGGCGGCCAAGTGTTCCTACCCCTACCACACACTGTCCCAGTCTTCGGATGAGGTAAGCAGGCCCTGACGTCTGACGCAGCCAGGTGTGCGGGCCACGGGCCACGCCTTCCCCCCTCACGCTCCTTGGTCTCCGCCCCAGTTTCTGGATGAACCTCTCCCCACCATCTACCACTGGACCAGTCAGCAGGTGGGCCAGTGGCTGCACAGCCTCAGCCTGGAGCAGTACGCTGCCGAGTTTGCTGCGAGGCAGGTGGATGGGCCGCAGCTACTGCAGCTGGATGGAAGCAAACTGAAGGTGGGTCAGAGTACAAGGACCACGACCCAGCCAGAGCCTGAGGCAACCTTCAAGAATTAGGACCCCCTCATCCTGACCTTTCCACTCCCGTTAAGACCACTGCCCTGGCCTCTGACCTCTAGGCAGGATCCCCGGCCTGATCGCTGCCCTCTAGTATGGGTTCCCAGTCTGACTCCAGCCCAATTCCTCAGTTTGACCTTCAAGCTCCAGCCCAAGTCTCCAGGTTGACCTCTGACCTTGAGGACTAGCCTATCATCTGACTCTTCACTCTAATCAGTCTCCCGTGGTCACCTCACCTGCTTCTTGGAGTCTTAGTCTCCAAGACTAAGAATCTTGGAGGCTGGTGGTTGTGGGAGGGACTGAGTCGGGGGTGGGGTGGGGGGCGGTGGCAGGGGGCTTCTGGCCTGTTGTGCACCCTCTGCTGAGCTGCTCGGGGAAGCGGTGGTGCAGAGAGTCCCCCAGGAAGTCTCTGGGATGGAGAGGGGACTCAGCTGCTGACTGGCTGTGTGACCTTGAACATTTTGCTCCTCGTCTCTGGGCCTCAGGGGATCAGGCAGGGTCACGCCAAGGCTGAAATCCTGAGTGGAGGAATATGGGAGCCAACCCTCTACCCTCATCTCTCCCAGTCACTCCCATTCCAAATTGTTGCCCTGAGGGTTCTGATCCATCAGCAAGTCTGGGAGGTGGAGGCTGAGGGCTGGCAAGAGCTCCGGATAGAATACACCTGGGGCACAGAGAACCCGGGGCTTGGGTTGGCCAGGCCTGGGTGGCTCCGGGGCTCTTCCGCTCACCCTTGGATTCCTCCCCCAGAGCCTGGGGCTCAGCAACTCACATGACCGGGCGCTAGTGAAGCGGAAGTTGAAGGAGCTGGCAGCGGCCGCTGAGAAGGAGCGCAAGGCCCAGGAGAAGGCTGCGCGGCAGCGTGAGAAGCTCCGGCGCAGGGAGCAGACGGCCAAGAGGAGCTAGGGGGACGGGCAGGCAGCTGCTGGGCTCTGAGGGCACAGGCCGCCCGGGGAAGTGGGGCCTGGCCCCATGCTCTCAGGAGGAACAGCCCTCTCACCCTGTCTTCTATCTGGACCCAGATTCCTCAGAAAGGGAGACCCCAGGGGGAGGACCCAGTAATAAACCCCATTTCAAGGACTCGTCTGGCACAGGGTTCCTGGGGGAAGTGGCAGATTATGGGCAGAGAAGCCAGGGCTGAAGCAAGTCTGGGAGCCCAGAAGTGCCTGAGTCTTTCCGACCCTCTGCCCTCAGGCCATGGTGGTCCTGGGACCAGCAGTGAATTAGGAGGCCTGCTTACCTACCAGAAGCCCTGGGCTCAGAGGGGGCCGGGCGTCTCTGCAGGAGCAGGTAGATAGAGCAGCTCCTTGCCAGCTCTCCCAGGTGACTGTGTCAGGAGAGCCCGTTCTGCTCCGCAGGGAGGCTGGTGGGCCTGCAGCACGTTGCATGCAAGGTGGGCTCCCAGTCTGCACTCCTCAACAGGAGGGCAGAGAAAGCAGCATGATTACCCCACATCATCTCTGCGAGGACTTCAGAAGGAAGGGAGGAGGCAAAGCTCCTCCTTTTCCCTGTCCCTGTCCTGTGGGTCTCTGTTGAGATAATGCCCTTGCAGGTCTGCCCCTCCTGAGGCCCAAAGCCTGGTCTTTGACCCACTCTCCAAGCTGGGCCCACTTCTGCTGCTCCCTCAGGGGCCACCTGGGCCCTCCCTGAGGACAGAGCAAACTTGGGAGCTGGTGGCCACGGAAGACACCCCCTACCAATGCCTAGATGGTCCTGAACTGGCGAATCCTCATCCCAGCCAAACAGAGAGGCAGAATCTGGGAGGTCCCCCGGAGGCTGCTAAACTGGAGAGGTCCATCAGCCGTCCCCCATCTGCCCTGGTCCCTAGCGAGGCCTCAGTGGGTTCCAGAACTGGCAGACAGCGCGGGCTCTGGTTCCTGGGCCACAGGGAGGGGTGGGGCCGGCTCCCTGGGTGGGGGCGGAGTCCACCCCAGCAGCCCAGAGCAAGCCGTCTGTCCTTGTAGGGAGGGAGTGTGCGGCTACGGTGCTGGCCAGCGGCGAGCCCAGCTTCTGGAGCGCTGGCCGGAGTTAACAACGAGGCCAGCGGCCTCTGATTAGAGACCTCCCTCCTCCTCCTCCCATCCGTCTGGAGCGGTGGACAGGACCCGATGCATGCCTACCCACCTCGTTCCAGCCCAGGCGCTGTGGCCTGAGGGCTACCCCTATTCCTGGGTCTCAGTCCTTTCCTCCTCTCTGCTATCTGGGCCGGGAGAGGGGCTTCAGAGAGGGGACTGAGATATGGGGGCATCAGTACCATCTGGGCCCAGAGGAGGGGCCAGTGGGGAAGGTGAAAAGTTCCCAGGTCCTTGAAGCCATCAGGAGTTATCTGGGTGCCCACCTGCATGTGAAGGGGGAGGCGGTACTCAGTTTATTTCAATAAACACTTACAACGTGCCAGTGACCTTTCTGTCTGCCCCAGCTGGGGGGTTGGGCTGGGCCCCGAATGTGGGAGGCCACAGTCCCGTCCCTGGGTGCCGCACCGTCAAGTGCTCTGAATGGACAGCTGTGGCCGCTGTTATACTCGGCACGCACTGAACCATGTCCTGAGCCGGGATCAGGTGTCCCGAGCGCGTCATGTGTTGGTCACAGGGGCTGCAGTCTGTATGCGTTTATACGTGAGGATCTCCCTCCCCCAGGAAAGCAGCAGGGCTGCAGTCTCATTCGATCTCCTCTTTACTGTGGATGTCACTGTCACCATCACAGCCACTGGGAGGAGCACACAACTTTAACCCCCTGTGTGCTAAGGGAAAGGGCTATAAAACTAGCTATGTACACACAACGTTCTAGGGAGAAAGCCACCCCAAGCACACGCGGGCACAGTGGGAACTGGGGTCTGGAGCTCGGTGGGGGACCGTGTGTGGCAGGCAGGTGGACGCATGTGAGGACATGCAGGGGAAGGGCTCGGGCGGCGGCAGAAACATCGCTGGGGCTACCTGCAGGCTTCAAGCAGCTTGGCTGGACGGCCAAGCTCTGGGTCCTCCCAGGCTCCTCGGCTTTAGGGGTGAGCCCCAGGTGAGAAACCCCTCCCCCCTAACTTTGACCTTAAACTCAGTGGAGGAAGAGACTGTAGGACCAGGTCCCCAACCAAGGGTCCCCTCCCACTATGCCAGATGTGGCGGGTACCTGGCCCCTTCCTAACACTGACACCAGACCAGGGCCAGGGTACCGGCACGGGCCAAGGGAATAAGGCAAGCAGGGGTGTCCACTTGGAAGGCCAGGGCTGTGGAAGGCAGTGAGGGGGACCTAGGACCCCCAGCAGAGAAGTGGCAGCTCTGGGCTCAGAGAGAAAGAATGCCATGGAAATGTATCTCTGGGACACCCTATCAGGGTGGAGGCATCCCCCAATCCTCAGGCATTGCCCACAGAGACTGGACCCAGGGAGATCCCCTAGGAGTCTCCACAGGGACAGAGATTGGCACTTAGGGGCCACCGCAGACCGGTCACCGCAGTGATTTCCACAGAGACAAGAAGCTGGTCATCAGGGAGAGCCTCCCCCAACCTGGGGTGGGGACAGGGAGGGTCACCATGGTGGCCGGATGCAGAGACAGCAGTCCATCCTCCTGGGCGCAGATGAGTGGGGCGGCCTCTAGCTGACACGGTACGTGGACGTGTTCTTGGGCTCCGTGCTGGGCACACACCAATCGCCGGCCTCCTGGATGGTCTGGTAGTGGCGCCAGGCTGACTTGTTGTAGACGGGCAGGCGTTCCACCGAGTCCGTGGACAGGGCCTGGACGGCATCAGGGTCAGCCTCTCCTGCTTCCCTGCGCCTTGCCCCCTCCTCGGCACACCAGCCTTGCCCCGGTACACTCTGGTGGCCGCTGACTGTGGCCCACATGTTAGCCCAGCCAAGTGCCAGACATGGGCTGAGATGACTAACCCGGAAAGACCCATGAAAGGGTCTGTCCCTTCCGTGGCTCGCTCCTGCCCATTCAAGAAGGCTGTTCACTTAAAGGTCAGGGAGGGATAGGAAGGAGGCTAGGCTCTGTGACCCTGGACAAGGTCACCAGCTCTGGGCCTCAGTCTCCCCCTGAGCTGAATCAGGAGTTCTCTGTGGTCCCCCCTTTCCTTCTTTTTTTTTTTTTTTTGCAGTACGCGGGCCTCTCACTGTTGTGGCCTCTCCCGTTGCGGAGCACAGGCTCCGGACGTGCAGGCTCAGCGGCCACGGCTCACGGGCCCAGCCGCTCCGCGGCATGTGGGATCTTCCCGGACCGGGGCATGAACCCGTGTCCCCTGCATCGGCAGGCGGACTCTCAACCACTGTGCCACCAGGGAAGCGCCCCCCCCACCCCATTTCCTTCTGAGTCTAGCAAGTCAAGGGTTCCCAGAACAGGGTCTTACTCATGCAAACCACAGACTCCCTGAAATTGCCTGCCAACTTAGGAGTGCCTGGTGGCTGGGAACTACAGCTTCGCTCTGATTCTCAGTTTGGAATCAGGAAAAGGTTGGAGGGATGGAAAAGAAACCTAATAACAGGCCCGACCTATCGGCAAACTCCCCCAGCCAGACTCTGCAGGCAGGGGCACTCACCTTGAGATAGATGACAGCGTCGGTCCCAAAGCCCTCCATGGAGAAGAGCTGCAGGTCCCCCTGGAAGTACTTGGCATACAGGCGGGAAATAGGGAGCCCATACCCGAAGCCAGCCTGCAAGGGGGTGAGAAGGGAGCGTGAGGAGACACTGGCCCTGGGCTTCCTGGAACTGCAGGGACCCGATGTGCTGAGTGAGGAGGGCCAAGCTGGGGTCGTGCACGGGGACTCCCAGAACTGGGGTGGGGAGGGGACATGAGAAAGGGACAGCTCTGAGGCAAGGTGGGGACCGTGGGATAAAGGAAATCAGTCTGGCAGAGGGAGGAAGGCTGTGGAGCATGGGGCGGGTGGGGAGCAGTAAGCAGGGCAGGGAGAGGGGCTCGGGACTGGTAGCCAGGGGTCTGGGCAGGTCACGGGACACCTCTCTGTCTCAATTTCCCACACCCAGCTCTGCCTACTCTGCTGGGAACGGACAGGGAGGTGTTGGTAAGCTGAACAACTCCAAGAGAGAGGTAGTTACTTGTGGAGAGAGAGAGGGGAAGGGAGAGTTGAGCAACAGTGACAGACAGAAGACACCCACAGATAGGTAGGTAGGTACAGGCTGGGAGAGACAGGAAGAGCAGGGAGGCCCAGACTCAGACTCACACACAGCCACACAAGGACGGAGGGACCATGGGAGGTAGGGAAGCGAGAGATAGGCAAGAGTGACAATTTGATAAGAGACCCGAAGGCCAACAGGCATCCTTCAGGAGGCCAGTGGGGGGAGCCAGAGAGAAGCCGTCTCACCAGTGGGGTTCCCCCGGTGCCAGGCTGAGGCGTGGGGGCCGTGGAGTACATGTAGCTGAAGAGGCGCTCAATCTTCCTCAAGGGAACACCCCCACCTCGGTCACTCATCTGGGGGATGTGGGACATGTCAGGGTCTCCAGACCTCAGTTCTCTCCACACCCCACCCGACCTTCTCAGATCTTCCTCACCCCCAGGGGCTTCCCTCAGCCCATCTCCTGGCAGGAGGGAAGTCTCCACACCACTGCTCTCTGGTCCCCAAAGTCAAGGGTCACATACTTTGATGGAAAGATCTTCCTCGCCCAAGGCCACCATGACCTTGAGAGGTGGGAGAGTGAGGCTGGATTCATGGCTTTCCACAGTCGCTCGCATGGCATTCTGTGGTGGAAAAGGGGTAAGACACAGTGAGAGCAACCTAGACCCCACCACTCCCACCCCCCACAAAGGACCATCCCCCAGCCTCCTCACCTTGAAGAGTTCAAAAAGCATGTGGTAGAGGTGGGAGGGGACATAGACCATGTGAATTGGCTGTTTGGAGTTGGATGCTGCCAGGGAAGTCCAAACCACAGATCAGGAAATTGTCAGGAGGTCAGCATTCAGCATTCATTCACCAGCATCCAGCACCCAGCACTCAACCACCAACCACTGTCCCTCCATCGTCCATCCATCTGCTCATTCGTTCATCCGTCTAGCCATTCATTCAGTGTCCATTCATCCATCTCTCTCTCTGTATAATATCCATCCACTGTACAGTGTCTGTCTGTCCGTCCAGCCATCCATTATCCATCCATTCATAGTCATATCCATTCAATATCTATTCGTTCCTCTATCTACCCATTCGATGTCCATCCAACCATCCAATTGTCCCTCGATCTATGTATCTGTTCAAACATCTTTCCCATCTATCCATTCATTCAAAGTACAGATCCATCCTCCCATTCATCCACTGTTTATCTACCCATCTATCCATCATTCATCCACCCAAATAACATCTGTCTATCCTAAATGTAGCCCACTAGCGTTCACCTTGATACCAGAATCCCCTGTAGAGCCTCTTCACCCAGAGGAGAGGGGAGGGGGCTGCCCAGGTGATTTTGACACCAGCATCCTACTTCCCAAGAATCACTCTATCCTGGAGAGTTTTCTTGGTTTTATAGACCGAGTGTCTCTTCCTGGTGCCTGGCACAGAGCTTTGCATGTAGCAGCAGCTCAATAAATGTGCAGTGGATCAATGAAGGAAGGAAACTCGGGCCCTGTGCTGAGCAGTGGAGACATAAAGTTGAATAAAATTCAATCCTACCCTCTCAGAAATTCAAGTCTAGACAGAGAAACGCACAACTGACTTTCACATTAGGTGTTGTACCCAGAGCTGTGTGCTAGGCCCTGGGCTTGACCCCAGGGATCCTGAAGTAAAGCGGCCTGTCTCTGCCCTTTGGTTTCCGCCAAGTAATGCAAACAGTGCAATTCAGAGGCACACCTGGGGCAGGCGGTGCCTAACTCTTCCTGGGAAGTCCGGGAAGGCTTTTCAGAGGAGGTGGACTTGATCCAGGTCTTAAGGAAAGACTAGGATGTGGGCAGTGCGACTTCCAGGCACAGAGGCATGAACACCTCAGGTTTCTGGCCCACAGGCCAGGGTGGCTGAGGAGCAGGTGGGTGGAGGGGAGGGTAGAGGCCCTGATCCTCCTCACCCCTCCACCTCCAAGGTATTTATCCAGTTCACCCCCTTCTTTTCCTCTCTGCTGCCTTCCCTTCCCCTTGCCTGAATCTGCAATGACCTCCTAACTGGTCTTCCTGTGTCCTCTCCTGCCTCCTCCAACCTCTAAATATCTTTTTTTTTTCTTTCATATTTATTTGGTTGCACTGGGTCTTCGTTTTGGCAGGTGGGCTCTTTAGTTGCGGCTCATAGGCTCCTTAGTTGCGACATGCATGTGGGATCTAGTTCCCTGACCAGGGATCGAACCTGGGCCCCCTGCATTGGAAGCACGGAGTCTTAACCATTGTGCCGCCAGGGAAGGCCCCTCTAAGTATCTTTAGAATGTTACTCAGATCCTGTCATCACCGTGCTTCAAACCTCCGGTGGCTTTTCTGCTGTTC